GGTTATACCAGAAACCGGAAATGACTTTTAAAAAAAAAAACGCTTTATTTTATATTGGAGTATGGCTGATTAGGGGCTTCCCTGATGGCTCAGATGGCAAAGAATCTGCCTACAATGCAGGAGACTGGGGTTTGATCCCTGGGTCAGGAAGATCCCCTGGAGAAGGGGATGGCAATCCACTCCAGCATTCCTGCCTGGAGAATTCCATGGACAGAGGACCCTGGCAGACTAGCCCATGGTGTCACGAAGAGTCAGACATGACTGAACGACTAACACACACACACACACACACACACACACACACACACACGGCTGATCAACAATTTTGTGATAGTTTCAGGTGGACAGCAAAGGGACTCAGCCATGCATATTAAAAGTGACTTTTTGATTTGTAAATAATTAAAATGTGAAATAAAAATGTATGCAAGTAAAATTTCATTCATATGAAAAATTGTCTTTCTGTTGTATACAATAATCTTACATTTTAATTTCCATTTCTAATACTGAGGATATGTGGTTTGCAATGGTGTGGCAGTTTTCAACTAAAGGTTCTAGACTCTGAAGTCTAGTGAGTACTTCATATGCTTTATTGCAATGTACGTATGTATGCTTTTGTCTTGTAGTAATTTGTTGACAAAATTTATTGCCTGAGAGACAGAAATTGCAAGATCACAGATACTTTTTTATATTCTTTAGTTTTAACTCTGTGCAGATGCCACAGTTGTATTGCAGGAATGGAAAGGAAAGCCAGTTTACCTCCATGAGGAGGCCCTCCTGTCTCCTGGGGCCAGTCTGGAACCAGGTCTGGGAGTAGGCATTCCTCAGATCATTTGGCAACCCTGATCCCCCATTTGCCCTCCAGGTGCTGGGTCAGCTTCTTAGGGAGCATGTTGCCTGTGCTACCGTAACCCAGGGGTAATGGGCAGCTATATTTCCATTTTCTTTTTTCCCTATTTTCCTTCATTTTCTTCAAGAACAGAAGAAATAGTAGGTAATAGTTAAATAAATTTACAGGTAATAGTTAAATAACTAGGCGACAAAAATTTTTTGATGTAAATTATGTTATCAGCTCTTTTCTTGAATTTTTATTTTGTAACATTGCATTTGTCCTGCCAACTATAGAATGTTGCTCACCACCCAGTTCTAGGGAAAAAAAAACATCAAGTCTTTAGCCACTGTAGTTGCTGACCTACAAATCACCTTGAAAGGAATTCAGGGTGAAGCTCAGGATGAGGCACTCTGTGTTCTGAGAAAACTGGCAGAACAGGTCTCAGAAAGTTGGGTATTTTTAGGAGAACATTCAATAGACCAAGATTCTTGCATCTTCCCATACTTAGAAAAGCACTAAAATTATTGACTGAGATATGTTTCTTGTGACTAGCAGTAACCTTCTACAAAGATCTGTACTTGATTGCATATACTCCTTTTTTTAAATTGATGCCTTTTAATTTTTATTTACTTTCAGTAATTAACTTTTTATTGGAGTTAGTTGATTTATGATGCTTTGTTAGTTTCTGCCATACAGCAAAGTGAATCAGTTAAAAATGCACATATATACACTGTTTTTTAGATTCTATTCCCGTATAGTTCATTACAGAGTATTGAATATAGAGTTCCCTGTACTATTCAGTAGGTTCTTAATAGTTATCTATTCTATATATAGTGGTGTGTATATCTCCATCCTAATCTCCCAATTAGCCTTCCCCCTACTTTCCTCTCTGGCAATTACAAGCTTGCTTTCTACATTTCTGACTCAATTTCTCTTCTGTAAACAGGTTCATTTGTGCCATTTCTTTAGATCCCATACATGTGATATCACATGTGTCTTCCAGGTCTGACTTACTCCTTTGCACATACTCCTTTGCCAAAATCACATGTATGTGGACTTCCTCCCACACCCCCGCCCCACCCCCGCCCCGCCCGTCTCCCACTCCACCTAATCTGAGTAGTTCCTCAGAACTATCTGGGAGGTTTTCTCTCTGGTTATAGTCCTCAGTGAGTTCCCAGATGAAACTAAAACCCGTAGCTCTCACATCATGAGTTATCACTTCAGTCATCAGTTTCTTTATATCTGTGTTCCCAAACAGGGTGTAATGCGCAAAATAGCACAATGGGCAGTCCCTTGAAATTTATTTTATTAAATTATCTACTTGTCTTTGATTTACTTTTTGTTGTTAGTTGTGTCCTATGTGTCCATGGTCTTTCAGAACTATGGTTCACTTTAACTTTCCTGAGTGACTTAATCTGTATGAGCCTTAGAGAAGCCCTTTGTAATAATTTATGTTTTAAATTGCTCTGAGTGGACAAAAGGTGTCTTAGAAGGTAGTATTGCTCTAATTATAAATCCTTTAAAAATAATCAGAGACTAAGTAATAAGAATTAACTTAATTTGCTTTGGGGCCTCTTCACTAGGCAAGATGAGTACTTTACACCTTAAGAGAGAAGCAGAGGGATGACATGTCAGCATATCAGTGTAAACCTCCTCTCGGTGACATCAACACTTCCACAGTTTTTCGGTAACACAGAATAGTATTGGATCAGGGAATGATGGGACTGCAAAGGAACTGTTTACTTTTAAAATGTATGTACTTACTTGCTTGTCCTTGAGAAGACTTGAGGTATCTCATTATTTCAAAGTACATTAAACCCAAATTCATCATCTGAACTAAATAGAATGGAGATGACAGTCAACCTAGAGCAAACCTGGAGCAAAGACTGATGAAACTCTCTGTGCTCAGAAACCTGGAACCCCACTTCCAGGTTTCCTTCTTTTCTCTGTTTTATTGTCTTTTTAGAGTTCAGTTTTGCCTTTCGTCATTTCTCTCCATTGTCATGGAGAATTATGGAAAGTATTTTCTTCTAAAAGAGAAAATAACTCAGAAGAGAAGGAGGTGGGCAGGCTGTATCTACTACAAGAGAGATTTAAGGGAGAAAAAACTTTACAAAAATCTACCATGAGAAGCACTCTTTGGGACTAAAATGTTGTCTCAAGAAAGCCTTTATTAACTGTAGATAATGACTGATACATTGGTTTATTATAGCTACTATCATTTCAGTCAGCACAAGTTCACTGTCTTAGTTGTTAGAATTTTATGCTGTTGATCTTACGTATCACCACAATTTGAGAAACTCTGGTCATACAGTGCAGTACTTAGCATAATGTAGTACAACATAAACATTCACACATTTTAATTAAGTTAATGGGCAGGCAAAGAAGAAAGACTGTAATGTGTCCTGTGGGGGAGATGGTAGACTCAGGTGTGTGTGGGGTCTGGATATGAAGGCTACCCAAGGGTTAAAAAGTTTTGATGCAAGGATGAACACACTTCTCAGTCACTAATTACCAAGTCACTAAAAAACAAAGTGAAATGGAAACATCCTGACTTGGAATATGTCGTCTTAATTCATTGAGTTTTCAACTGCTCAGATGTAGCTTAACTTTAAAAAAAAAAAAAATGGTGTCCTAGAGTCACATAAGCTTTTAGTCAGTGCAAGAAGAATTTTTGGTCCCCCTCCCCCCCCCCCTTACTCTTCTTTCTGGATCATCAAAACTCCTAGGGATTTTGGAAGGATGAGAATAATACGGTGAATTTTGTATTTAAATTTCTCTATCTGGATGTGTCAAATTCCAGGTAACTTCAATATTACATAGCAATAAAAATTCACAAGGTCCACTGAAGAGTTCACAGATATTTCAAACATGGAGAAATTCTACTGAACTTCATCACAACGGTATACTTAGCTTATTAATATATTATAATTAGCAATATTAAAAAAAAAAACCGAAAACAACCTTTCAGAGAAACTGTAAGATGGGGAGCCAAAGCCAGAGGCCTTAAAGCAGTTTGGTTTTTGTTTTGAATCCTACTGACTTATCAGGAAGAGTTCAAATACACTCACAGAGTCGGAAGTAATAATCAGACCCAAGTGATCCATTCATATGGAGACAAAAAGTAATTTGCTTGGCATCTCCCGGATTGCTTTAAGAACCGCAGTAAAAAACAAACGAGGAGAAATGTTTCAGAAGCCAACTCGGCTCCCAAACCCAAACCCAAAGTCGAACCTGAGACTTTTTATAAAGGCGAGCAGGGCAACGGGCGGTAAAGGAAAACAGCCGGTGAACAACCCCGGGCAGGGCGGGCAGGAAGCCCACCTCAGGGAGACCCTCTCTCGGTTTTCAGAAAGACGTTTCGGAAGCCCCATTCCCCTGCGGTTTCCACCCCTGCCCCGAGGCTGCAACCGCGGGATGCGGGGCGGTGGGGACAGAAAGCCGGGGAAGCAGACAGCAGAGGCGGAGACAGGACAGGAGCGCGGAGCCGGACAAAGAGCGTGGCCCGGGGCCGCCACTGTTGTCCGGGGTGCTGAAAAGCCGGGGACGTCCCGGACGGCGGCGGCCGCCACTTGCCTCTCCCGGAGCTCGGGCGGGGGTTCCGGCTGCGCACCTGCTAAGCCCGTCCTGGCCCGGGGCCTGGAGGTGCCCGCCGGTGAGGTCCCCACAGCAGACCCTTAATGGGGAAATCATGAGGGGCGGAGGGCATCGCGGGCACAGCGGAGAGGACCCCGGTGCCCCGCCGCTCCGGGCGGCCCCACGCAGCGACCTCTCCACCTGCACGCGGACTCTCGCCGCCTCTTACCGCCGCGCCGGCAGGCTGAGCGCGAGGCCAGCCCGGCACGGGCGGAGGGTGCGGGGCGTTGGGGGGAAAGCGGCGCCGGTCCCGGGATTGGGTGGGGGGCGGGGGGTGGAGGCGATGGCGAGCGGGGCATGCGCAGTGGGGCGGAGGAGGTGGCGATGGCCCGGGGAGGCGGGGGGACTGCTGTTTATCTGCAGCTGGGCCAACTCGGCGGCGCAGGCGGCGGCGGAGCGCGGGACGCCAGCGGCCGGTCCAGCTGCCGCCGGCCATGCCCGAGCCCATCTCCCGGCAGCTGCCGCGCACCGTCCGGGCCCCGGCCGGGGAGGATGCCAGACACCCGGGAGAGACCAGGACAGCGGCGGCGGCGCGATGGTGGTGACCAGCTCTGCCCGAGGCGGCGGCGGGGACCGCGCGCCCTCCCGGCGGCGGGACTGCGGACTCGCGCCGGCGGGAGCCGCGGCGCTGCTGGCCGGGGCGAGCTGCCTGTGCTACGGCCGCTCCCTGAGGGGCGAGTTCGTGCACGACGACGTGTGGGCGATCGTCAACAACCCCGACGTGCGGCCCGGGGCCCCGCTGCGCTGGGGCATCTTCTCCAACGATTTCTGGGGCAAGGGCATGGCCGAGAACACCAGCCACAAGTCTTACCGGCCGCTCTGCGTCCTCACCTTCAAGTGAGTCCCTCACCCTGGGCTCGCAGCCTCCGTTTCTCCTCACCCTCTACCCGGGCTGGGAGAAGTTGAGGGACCCGCTTGGGGGGGCGCGTTTCTTTTCTTGCTGCCCCTTGCCCTCCACGCCTCCCTGCTCTCCAGGTTGCCCACGCCTCTCTGCTTGGTGGTCCTCGGCCCCGCTTCTCCGGGCTCCCGGGGCGGCTCGGAAGGCGCGGGCTGCGAGTTGGGATCGAGTTTCTGGAGAGTCTGCGCTCAGGGCGGGCTGGTCTTTGGGGCCAGGGCTGGAGGGGCCGTGGAGCCGCCTGCGCACACCTCACTCCCGTGGGACTGTGGGCAAGTGAGACCAGCGCGCGCCCGCCGAGGCGGTGGCTGTGGTGGTGAAGCCCCCAAGTTGAGCATTTCTCGGCGGCTGCTCGGCAGCTTTGCAGATGGGAGTTAGAAGCCCTGAGCTGCCGGGGCGCGGGGGTTTGGGGAGGAAAGGACGGCGGGCAGAAGCTCTCTCCTGACCTGCAGCCTTGACTGTTCTGGCGCCTCTCGGATCTTTGGGAAGAGCTCCAGATTTAGACTTTAAAAGATGCAAAGCAAAGGAGGGCAGGAAAACGTGGGGTCCTCTCGGGATCCCGGCGTCCCAGTCGAAGTAGTTTTTCTTTTACAACCTCAGAGTCATGATTCAGCATTTCAAGTGTGAATGAGGTGCAAAGGGAGTCAGATTTCTGATGGATAGAGTATTTTCTTGAATTTAAAAAGAGGGCTAGCTTCAGATGGGAGGGGAGAAAGGCTGATTCCGGGGAGTGCTGGCTCGTGTGTCATGAGCTTGACTCAACCCATTATGATTTGGCTCAGTATTTAAGCTTATAATGTGCCGGACAAAACTGTTGACATAATTCTGGTTCAGTATCATCAGCGTTTTAAGCCTTCTCCAACGGGTGTAATATGAACCCGTCCTTATGGTAGTGGTCATATGAGACAGGGTAGGCAGCTTGAAAAGCCTGCTCAGACCGGGAGGCCCAGGTCTCTTGACAGGTGGCTGATGACTTAGAAAAGGAAACCAGAGCGATTGGACTTAATTCTTCTACTGAAAGTTGAGTGTTTTCAGGAGGGTAAGGAAATTCCACATTTGACTCTGAAGATTATTTTATAAACATTTATCCTGTTGGAAAGTGGTCTTGTTTTTCAGTTGAAGGATAACCTCAGCTACTAAGTTGCTCATTGCTTTTTCCCCTAAATGCTTTTCAAAATGGCACGTTCTCAGGTAGCACAATGTGTGTACCTTCTAAGCCAGCTTGCCTTTTCATTTATTACAGAGAGAGTTGTTGGTTACTTTAAGGTGTGGAAGCTCACAGCAGGAGGTGTGCTGGGCTTATACTAGCCATTGGAGACTGCCTAGGTCCCTCCATTGAATGTTCTCCATATACAAAGTGAAGTGAAGTGAAAGGCACTCAGTCGTATCCAGCTCTTTGCGACCCCATGGACTGTATAGTCCATGGAATTCTCCAGGCCAGAATACTGGAGTGAGTAGCCTTTCCCTTCTCCAGGGGGTCTTCCCAACCCAGGGATTGAACCCAGGTCTCCCACATTGCTGGCGGATTCTTTACCAGTTGAGCCACAACGGAAACCCATATACAAAGGTCAGGGTCAAATGCTTGTGCCCGGTTGGTGGAGAGAGAAGAGTGTCTTCACTTCTTGGCTTTCTAAAAACTTTGTTTAAAATTCGTGCAGAAAAAAAAAAAAAATTCATGCAGGAAGTGGCAGAGGCAGAAGACAGAGGAGGCGAGGAAAAGAGTAGACAGTGAGGCAAGACCATCGATGAACAGGAAAACAGGCACTGAGCAGAACGGGGGCTAAGGAGAAGAATTGAGGGGGCAGAGGGCAACTTCACTTGTGATACTCACTGGTTAGAAAAAGCCTGGTTGCTAAGATGCATTGCTCTTTGTGGAGTATATCCTACTGGCTGTGTAAGATACACTGTTTTTTTTTTTAAGATGATTGAGTTGCAAATCTAGAGTGCAAGGGAGCACTAAATGGAAAGGAATAGTGCCTCCTCAGAAAGAGAAATTTAACTAATCTTTTTGTTCTCACAGGCATTGATTTGAAGAAGTTGTGGACACTTTCTCATCACAGTCACCTGAGGTGCAACTGCATATTCTAGTGCAATAGTGCAATAGTATGAGGCTGGGCGTATATAAAGGATGATGTTAACAATGTTAGGCCCACACAACTCTGAAGATTGTTTGGAAGAAGGACAGAAAATCATGTTTATTAACTGTTTAGTGTGAATCAAGCATTGGCCTAGGAACTTTACTTAGGTCATGTCTTTATGATTTTTAATTTAGGTAATAGGGCTTCCCAGGAGGCTCAGTGGTAAAGAATCCACCTGCCAATGCAGGAGGCACAAGAGACTCGAGTTCGATCCCTGGGTCAGGGAGATGCCCTGGAGAAGGAAATAACAACCCACTCCAGTATTCTTGTCTGGGAAATCCCATGAGCAGAGGAGCCTGGCGGGCTACAGTCACAGGAGATCACAAAGGGTTGGACAGGACTGAGCACACGAGCACAATTGGTGCAAACACAAAGTGGCCTTTGAGATATGTGCAAACTACCTTACCTGTATCTTAACCTTTTTAAGCAAAAATTTTGAAAATTTAAAGCCATTTAATTAGTAGCTAATTAATTAATATTGTAAGGACACCTAACATGAGATCTACCATCTGAACAAGTTTTTGAGAGCATAATATAATATTTCAACTGTAGGTCCAATGTTGTGCAGCAACTCTCTAGCACTTATTCCTCTAGTATAATTGAAACTAGGTACCTGTCAAAGAGCAACTCTGGATGCTGCTCTCACCTCACCCTGCCCTTGGCAACCAGCATCTTAGTATCTGTTCCTATGAATTTGACTATTTCAGGGACCTCACATAAGTGGACTCCTATGGCTGGCTTGTTTCATGTAGCTTAATACTCTCCAAGGTCTTCTGTGTTGTTGCACATTGCAGGATCTCCTCCTTTTTAAGGCTGAATAATATTATATATCACTTTTAGTATATATCACTTTTCCTTTATCCATTCATCTGATGATGGGCACTTGATTTGTTTTTTATCTTGATTATTGTGAATAATGCTGTAGTAAACCCAGGAGTACATATATGTTTTCAAAGTCATAATTTCATTTCTTTTGGTTGGATATAGACCCAGAAGAAGGATTGCTGAATCATATAGTAATTGTATTTTTAATTTTTGAGGAACCTCTATCCTGTTTTCCATAGTGGCTGTACCATTTTACTTTCTTACCAATAGTGTACAAACATTCCCAATTCTTCACATCTTTGCTGATGCTTACCTTTTGTTTGTTTTCATAAAAACCAATCTAAGAGGAATGGTGTGGTATCTCATTGTGGTTTTGATTTACATGATTAAAGCACAATTTGCCTGATTAGTGATGTTAAGTATCTTTCCCTCTACCTATTGGTCATTCGTATGTCTTCTTTAGAGAAATGTCTATTCAAGTTGTTCTTTGCCCATTTTTAAAATCAAGGTATTTAATTTCTTTTTAAGTTGTAAAAATTCCTTATATATTTTAAATATTAATAACATGTCTGATATTTTGTTTGCTATATATTAACATCATGTCTGATATTTGGTTTGCAAAAATTTTCTGCTATTCTGTAGGTTGTCTCTTCACTCTTGATTTGTTTTCTTTATTCTGCAAAGCTTCTTTAGTTTGATATAGTCCCACTTGTCTAATTTTTGCTTTTATTGTTTGTACTTTTGTTATCATATCTTAGAAACCATTGCCAAGCCTAACATCATGAAGTTTTTCCTCTCTATTTTTCTTATAGGAGTTTTATAGTTTCAGGTCTTATATTTACATTTTAGCTATATTTTGGGGTTGATTTTTGTATATGTTGTTAGAGTCTAATTTGATTCATTTGTATGTGGTTAGCTAGTTTTCCCAATACCATTTATTGAAGACTATCTTTTCCCCATTGTATATTCTTGGAATCCTTCTCAAAGATTATTTGACCATATATACATGGGTTAATGTCTCTGTTCTTTTCCATTCATTTGTAAGTCTGTTTTTATGCCAGTACTGCACTGTTTTAATTATTATAGAATTGGAGTATATTTTGAAGTCAGGAAGTGTGGTGCCTCCAGTTTTGTTCCTGTTGATCAAGATTGCTTTTTATATTCAGGATTTTTTGATTCAGTGTAAAATTTATGATTTTTTTCTTTTTCTGTAAAAAATGCCTTGGGATTTTGATAGGGATTACATTGAATCGATAATATATGGACATTTTAACAATATTAAGTCTTCCCATTTATGAACGTGGCATGTCTTTCCATTCATTTGTGTCTTCTTTAATTTCTTCCATCAGTAATTTGTAGTTTTAAGTGTGTAAGTCTTTCATCTCTTTGGTTAAATTTGCTGCTGCTACTCAGTGGCTTCAGCCGTGTCCAGCTCTTTGTGATCCCATGGACTATAACCCGCCAGGCTCCTCTGTCCGTGGAATTTTCCCTCCAAGAATGCTGGAGTGGGTTACCATGCCCTCCTCCAGGGGCTCTTCCTCCCGTGTCTCCTGCATTGCAGGCAGATTATTTACCGCTGAGGAGACACCTGTGGTTAATTTTATTCCTCAGTATTTCATTCTTTTTGTTGCTATAGTAAGTGGGATTTTTTTCCCCTTAATTTTGGATAGTTTATTATTGTGTGTGCTTCGTTGCTCAGTCGTGTTTGACTCTTTGTGACCCCATGGACTGTACTGTAGCTTGCCAGGCTTCTGTATCCATGGGGATTCTCCAGGCAAGAATAGTGGAGTGGGTTGCCATGCCCTTCTCCAGGAGGTTATTATTAGTGTATGGAAGTACAGCTGGTATTTTATGCTGATTTTTGTATTCTGTAACTTTATTGAATTATATTAGTTCTGATAGATTTTTGGTAGCATCTTTAGGGTTGTCTATATATGACATCATGTCATCTGTAAACACAGATAATTTTATTCTTCCTT